ACAACAACCAGAAGAACCACACTCAGAGTGACCACGCCTCCCCCACGGGTGACCACACCACGACCAGGTATGTCCAGCACTCTCTGTGCTTGTGCCAGTAAGGTGCACCAATTGTATGTTGATTTGATGACACATCAGAGTGTTTCTACCTCCCCCACCCCATCATTATCACCCCGAAAAGTGCACCTAACTCTACAAAAGATCTCCCCACTGCTTTTTTGTTGCATTTTTTCACTATTAAAATGATATTGTCCAAAATGACAACCTGTCAGATATGCCCATATTTCTCATCAACAGTCCTTAATCGTCTTAGTTCCGCAAGTTTTTTGTTTGTTTGTTTAAACTCTTTCTATTTGGACTTTGTATCCCTCTCATTTCGGATTGACCCTATCAGGAAGGGTCGCAGCCCGCCTTCTTAATGACCTGAATTGTGTCAATGAGGGCATTAAAACATGTGCATAAAAAAATGGATAACAACAGTTTACCCAAACGTATGTACAACGTTGTCTTTCTTTCATGGTCTTTTATGTATCTTTATATTAAACCCCTCAGAGCTTATACTAGTATGTAATAGAACCCTATATAAATGCAATATTTTTATTACTGTAACTATTATTGTTTTTATTTTTTTACAATTATTATTACGATTATTGTTATTGTTGTTGTTGCTGTTGTTGTTGTTTTTTTTAGATCTCCCAAGATTTATATCTCCATTCCAGTAGAGTGTAAAAATATAGTAGGCCAATGACTTACAGTTATTGATGTTAATGCACCGATCATTCCTTTCATCGAAAGGGGGCCCAGCTAGAATATTATATTTGTGAAAGTTCGTCACTTTTGCCGCCTAAAACCTCCGAACCACTTCACTTTCGAATTTGACAAAATTAATGAAGGTTCAAAATCCTGTAAAGGACGCACAGTTTCAGTGAGGAGCATGAAGTCACTGTATTTTAATTTTCAGTTTTTCATTAGTTTTGTTTAGGTCTAATCTTGGGAAACTCCGTCTTCTAAGTGCCATTGTAAACAAGTGAGATTTTCGTTTACTAGCTGTGCGCACTGTTTCCACATCTTTGAAATTAAGGAGTGTACAACCACGTAAAAGGAATTGTGGATCAATCTATACATCTATTATTTGGCAACTTGGAAACACACGTCTCAGTTTTCTCTCAAGACTTATTGCTCCATTCCAGTAGAGTGTAAATATAGTAGACCAGTTGATTTTATTGCACCGATCATTCCTTTCATCGAAAGGGGGCTCAGGTAGTTTTTTATATTACTTTTAATATATATATATTATACATGTGACTGTAAGATGCGTGTTGAGCATGTTTGTGTGTGTGTATGTGAGTGTGTATGTGCGTGTGTACGTGTGTGTGTGTATATGTGTGTAGATGGTGAAACACCAAACCAATGTGCCGAGATCAGGACAATAAAGATGTATCTTATCTTACAACATTCTCTCCGCAGTGACAACAACCAGAAAAACCACACTCAGAGTGACCACGCCTCCCCCAGTGGTGACAACACCACGACAAGGTATGTCCAGCACTCTCTGTGCTTGTGCCAGTAAGGTACACCAATTGTATGTTGATTTAATCACACATCAGGCTGTTTCTACCAGAACCACCCCCCCCCCTTCCCGATCTTCCTTGTGTGACTATGCATATGAGACTGTGGGTCATCACCTGTTCCACTGCACAGCCCCATATGACATCAGAGCTACCCTTCTCGCTTCGAGATCTATTATTGACAACATATTCTATGGAACATTATAGCAACTGCAGCAAACCTGAACTTATCACTACATGGCATTGGACCCAAGGGCGAGAACCCAGTTGTTGCCGGATCGATAATAACAAAAACGATATTATTACTATTATTATTATTTATTT